TCAGATGTTTTGAAGAAATATGAGGTTTGACATGAAAATATGCATGACACAATGCCTGGAATAAGAAATGTTAATTTAATTTAATTTTTATGAATTCTGTTAATTATTATATTTACTGCATTACACACTTCATCAGCTGACAGGCGTTTTGATGAATTATAAATAAGAATTTTACTAATTAAATCAACAGCTTCTGGTTCAGTGTCTTCGATAATTTTTTCCCATACTATTCCTTTATGATATGGAAATGTAATTTTATTGTAATCAGGTAATATGCTTAAGTCTGGCCACGTTTCTGATGTAGGAGAACCTAAATATTTTAGAACAATTGCTAATTGTTCAATATCTGTTTCTCCCTGCAAATTTATTAAATAATTTAATAAATTCATTAATCAATTTTAATATTACACAATAATATATGTTATTGTTGTAGAAAGTGCAAAATTGTGAAAAATACACAATGTGAAAAAATGTAAAGTATAGTGCTATCTATAATATCTAATGTGTAAAACAATCTTCTATCCAAATTTTGATTTTTAAATTATATAAACGTATGAATTTGTATAAAAAATATGCAGTATAGTTTAATTATAAATATTAAAATATAGTAAATTAATAAATAGAAATATATTTTACAGGAAATAATGGTGATTTATTAAGTAGTTCACCAAAGATACAACCAATAGACCACATATCAATTGCTGATGTATAATATCGTGCACCATATAATAATTCAGGTGCTCTGTACCATCTAGTGGCAATTTGATGAGAATATGGCTTTGTTATGTTTTTCCATAATAATCTTCCTAAACCAAAATCAGCAATTTTCAAAATACCTTTTTCATTTATTAATAAATTAGCAGGTTTTAAATCCTAAAAATATTATTTTAATGATTTTTTTTTTAGTTGAATAGAAAACTAAAAATAGAATTCTATATATAAATTTAATATTTATACAATTATATACACATTAAATGATAATTTATAATTATTTTGATTTATATATAAACAATGTTACCACTTCTTACTCTATGTATTATATTCTTTCTGTGTATGTATGCAATGCCTTCTAAAATCATTTTTGTATAAATTTTTATTTGAACTGGAGTTAATAATATATCATTGTCTTTTATTACTTCCCACAATCCTGTTGGCATGTATTCAAAAACCATTATAAAATCTAAACCAGCAGGGAAAGCCTCTAATAACTCTATAACCTATTAAAATTAATTTTTTTATGAAATTTATTTCTATATCATTGAAAAGATGTTTTTATAAAATTATGAATGAGTTTTATATATAATACAATAATTAAATAAACATACATTAGAATGTTTTAACTGTTGTAAAATTTTTATTTCACGAATAATAGGAATGGATATACCATTATCAATATTTTTTAAAAATAATTTTTTTAACGCAACATTTTTTTCTGTTTCCACGTCGTATGCTTTCAAAACAATACCTTGAGCTCCTTTTCCAATTTTTCCTGTGATTATATATTTATCCATAATGAAGATAATTCTGAATCAATATTAATAATATTCAAATACTTCTTCTTTTTAAAATTAAGGAAGAATTATTGAAATTTATGACCATAATTTAATGAAGAGATTAAAAATTGAGTAAGTAAATAATTTGTAAAGCTCAGATAGGGTAGCATTAGGGTATTATTAAAGCATAGACCAGGTATATGAATAGACATTCCATCTTATGGAACTTCGTGTCCTGTGATCCAAACATACCGATATACTAAAAAAATCACTGATCTTTTAGCGTTTAAACAAGAGTGAGTTGGAGAACTAGTGAATGCTCCAGCAACATGATTCGAGAAACACAGTGTTGTCAAACTTTCAATACCGAAATGTGAACCTAATAATTAACCAAAATCATCATACTGTATGTCAGAAAGAGCTTTATCCTTGTTTTATGAATTTATCACAACTTTTTTCAATATATAGTAAATTAAAATTTAAAAATTATTAATGCATGGTTTTAGATATGAATGATTTATATTTTATTAAACATTTCTAAAAATAATTTTTATTTTCGTTGATTCGATAAAACGATTAAATTAATGAAATAGGCGAGTTAGAGGATTTTTCGTATATCTCAAAGTCCGGCGGAACTCAACCAAAATTATCCGATTTGGACAAAATAGTTAAATAATAAGTAATAAACAATAATTAAAAGTATAATTTTTATTTAAATAAAAATTATTTAAATATTAAAAACAATTTAATACACATTTCTGATTTTCGAGAATATGTTTATTCTATATTTAATATTATATAAAATAAAAATAATTTTTTATTTTACTTATTTCATGTTCGTTATATTGAATATAAATCACACAAATAATATCATTGTTTTTCATAAATATAATTTAGAATGTTACTTCTCTTTTCAACAAATTTTCGTGATAAAAATATAAATATTGGACTTGAAACAGTTACAAAAGTACAGTAATAAATATTAAAACCAATAATACGTATTGATGACATGAACGTGCTATTTTATTATTTCATTCATTGTCAGTGCTATTATTTCTATTCTTTCATTCATTATCGCTGCATTGTGAAATAATAGGAAAACTAATTGTAAAATGAAAAGGCATAAATGTTGCGTAATAATATAATATAGTATCACTTTTTCTATTTCTTCTATTAAAATTCGTTCAAGTTTCACAATATTGTTTTAGACAATTAATTCATGAGAATTTGGTATTATCAATGGTTGCAGCAGAAAGTGAATTATTTTTTTAATTAATAAAAGTTGAATTGTTTTCAAATATTTGATAAATAATAAAAATGAAAAAGAAAACATTTTAAAATAAGAAAATTTATATTACTTATTTATTTGTTATAAAGTTTTATAAAAAATAAAGAAATATATATTTCAAAAAATAAAAAGTTTTGTTAAAAATAATAATAAAAAAAAGTTAAAAAGAATTAAAAATCCTTTTCCTGATTTTAAATTTAAAATATTATGTTTCTTATATTTTCGTTTCCTGACGAATAGAACAGCATTAGATAAAAAATCTTCTTAGAATGCATTTCAGCAAGCGTGCTTTTAATAGGAAATCTGAAACTTATGTCCTTTTAAATACTTTGTTAGGACTTCGTCATCGAACTGTCTGTAGGTTTGGTCAAGGACTAAAATACAAATCAGAGAAAGGTATACGTATTTTTACGTATTTCAAGAAACTATCTTGTAAAAAATCTACCTTGTTCCAATAAAATTCTGTAAAATTGTAAAGTATTTTTCTGCTATCTTTCCTTGATCTGCAAAAATATAATTTGCACCACAATAATGCCTTTCTGTGCCAAATTTGTAAGCACATTCAACAAAGATTTATATTAAATAAATAACAAAGTTTTGTTATGATCATAATATTGGTAGGCAAAGTAGTTTATAGAATAATAGGAAAAGTAGTTTATAGAATAATTTCGAATAATATTTTAATTCAAGCGTAATTTTTACTAATGAATTACAGAATTTATGTTATTTTCACAACCAATCCACTGCATAGTTATAAATTGCTAAAAATTTAACATAAATTTGAATATGTAACATAAGGAATATGTAAATGAGGAAATATAATAGTTTTAATATTTTAATATTAATAATAATTTAAAATAGCTGAAAATTTAATTAATTAAAAATTATTTTTAGAAATGTTTAATAAAATATAAATCATTTATACCTAAAGCCATGTATTCATAACTTTAAAATTTTAATTTACTATATAAAAAAAGTTGTGATAACTCCATGAAAGTAGGAGTGGTAGGTGAAGGTATACAGTATAATGATTTTAGTTAATTATTAGGTTTACATTTCAGTAATGAAAATTTAACAACACTGTAATGGATCTCACGGATCATGTTGCTGGAGCATTCACTAGTTCTCCAATTCATCCTTGTTTAAACGCTAAAAAACCAGTGATATTTTAGTATGTCAATATTTCAGATCATGGGCCATGAAAGTGTGTAAGATGCAATGTCTATTCATATATCTCATCTGTGATCAAACAAAACGATCAGCAGGAGGGACGAACGGGTAATTCAATACGAGCTTTCCGGGACGAACTGCAACTCCTTCGAATATACGTCAATTATATAATTTATCTTACAAAATTATTTTATAAATCTATTTTGTATTTTAAATTAATTTTCGCACAATGAATGCCAGATTATTGTGTTTGTTCAACTGCATTAAATATCCGTACTGTTTTAACATGAAATTCAATCTCTTTGATAAACATTTTATTCCGAAAAAACTTCTTTAGATTAAATGACTGGAACAAAATTATTCAGATGATTTTTCAACTTTAATTTTTTTTAATTTTTATGCCTCATAAGAATATCGCCAAAGATATGAATTCCATTACTTTCATTTTAAAGTGATCTTGAAAATAATTCTTTCAACGAGTGTGTGCAACTTTTCTCAAATATTTTCTTCATAAAAATAAAAATACAGCAGATATGTTTTCATTTAAAAGCCGCATCCTGTATAAAATTTGAAGCATTTAGAAAAATATTAATTTTTTTTTCAACATTGTGCAATAATTTTTTTATTTAGAATAGAAAAAATTCAATCAAAAGAATCTTAGAAATTCATTAAAGAACAATGCATTTTTGTGAATCATACGATGATAGAGCTTCATAAACAATATCTAGTAAATTCGTATTTATTTATTACGATTATTGTATGTACGTACATATATATTGCTCGTAATAAAATGTCACCGAATTCAATTCAATAAATAATTTTCAATGTGGAAACAGCAATAGTCCATATTTTTTGATTTTAGTTTCTATCGCTACTAACACTGTAGTGCAATACTTGCGTAAGTCGATATGACAGGATGTGATATGAAAATGGTAAGAGGATCAGTGACTTTCAACGTGGGATACGAAAAAGCACCTGAAAAAGCATTGGATATCCAATCTATCCTATTAGTCAATGATTGTATGCAATGTCTATTCATATACCTTGTCTGTGATGCTTTAGTTAGTGAACGTTAATTAACGATGCGCTAAAAAACGAGTGATTTTTTTCTTCGGTCGGTATTTTAGATTCTGAGACACGAAATCCCATTTTATGTCTGATCTATTCTATCTTTAGTCAGTGGTATAAAATGATTAAACAACTATTTTCATAGTTGTGACTTGCTTGACTAACCTTATGTGTGGTTAAGTTCCTTCAAAATATTTTACAGTGAATTGATGAAAACAGTGAAGACATTAAGTTATATACATATATTTAACTATAATATATTTATGAAATTACATTTTTTATTAATTAAAAATATTTTTTGTGGTTCTATGTATTAAATATGAGTAATATAAAATCGAAAAATTTTACGTATAAAAACAAATGGTATCCCCGTAAGAAGTCATCAAAATCTTACAGTAAGATACTTTTTTCTCATTTTTACATACTTATAATTCTAAATAATTTAGTCAAATACAATCAAATCTCATTTTAACATACCTATAATTCTAAATAATTTAGTCAAATATAATCAAATATAATTATCAAATCTGTATTTATCTTTTGTACATAAATTTGTACATAAATTGTTGTTTTAATATTTGAAACGTTTTTTGATGTAGTGGTTATTGTGTTATACAGTTTTACTTTCATTATATGTATATGTATAAAAGAATAAATGAAGAAGTTATTTTTATTGCATTACATTACTTTTTTTATATCTAATGAAAATTATCAAGGTAAGCTCGATAATTTATAACTCAAGATACTAGTTTAAATGAAATGGAAGTGTTAGAAGTTTGTTTCTAAATTATGAAATTATCATTAAATATGTTTGATATGTTTATTGTTATAATATTACTAATGTTTTTTTAGTGTTATAAACATGTAATATTTTTACATATATGTTTTATGCTTTTATGTTTTGATTACATAATTTATAAAATATAAATAGAGATTTTTGTAACAGATTAATATTTTTGAATCTTTTCATTTTAATTAGTATCTCTGAATAATTAGATTGAATGTATGGCTAATTATGTCATCTTCGTATTAATTTATTGGATATATATTAGTAAAGAAAAGAATAATTACAAGGAAGAGTAATTGCACATTATCATTAAAACTTTTAGCATATAGAAACATTTTAGTATTTAAAATCAACTTACTATGTGAGAAATGGTACATAATCTACATGTAATAATTAAAGACAAATAATAATTATTTTCAGATATTTATTTCTATAATAAATGATTAAGAGGATACAAAAAGTTTAAAAACATTTTATAAAAAAAATTTGTATTTTCATATCACCTCTTTTTATATTCTAATTTGTATTTTAAATAACATGGAAAATAATATAATTATTCTATTATATGTTTCTATTCACAACTGTAATAGTTGTGACAATATAGCAATGCTGCCATATTAATGTGTTCAAGAAAATTTTTCCTAATTTATATATACCTATTAGTTTTGAGGGTGCCATCTCATTGTATATCATAAAGTAAAAAACTACTTTTAATAACTATGTTATTATGTTACATCTACTTGATGAAATTTACTTTATAATTTTATAAAAAATATAATTTTAAAAGAACTTGAAATATAGGAAGTAATAATATATGAAGATAAATCTCTTGTGTTTTTATCTATTTTCTTTTGTTGTTTATAATGGCTATTAATATTATAATAACTTGTATTATACATATTATGAATGTGAAAAAATATATAAAGCAGTGAAAATATTTGAAAGAGAATGAGACAAAATATAGGAAAAAAATTTGTTATAATAATATCTAAAGAATTAAAATACAATCTGATTTTAATATATTTATAGAATTATTTAAGAGAAATAAGTTTTTTTTGCTAAATTTTTGGATAAAAATTAATTATCATAGTGATTAATGTATCATTTTTGCCTTGTGTAATAATGTACATAGTGAAGGTTTTGAACATTCTTTCAAAGCAATCTATCAATTGTGATGAAATTTTAGGAATCATCGTGATAAATTTCAAATATGAAATTTGGAATTTTATGTATTTGAAAAATACGAAGTTATTCTTCTATATGACATATATGACACTATTAAATCTGTAGACGGTGTTTCACGATTTATGAGTTCAAAACATATGTACGTATATACATACTTGTATATATATATATATATATATATATATATATGTACACACACGTGCGCGCGCGCATACACACATATATGTAATATATGATGTATATAATATATGAAATTTATGTGAATTCAATGGTAATGTTTAAGAATTATTTAGCGTACAAGAAAATCTCGGTAGCCAAAAAATTCCGATTTTTTCAGAAATTTTATAGATTTGTAGCGAAGTACAAGAGAAGCATAAAATAATTCTTTTTTTCTGTTCCTTTTCGGTTGATAAAAATACTTTTTGAATAGAAATAGATGTTATTCCATTTTCTTGTAAAACTATAGATAAATAATTTTTATTTTTCGGCTCCACAGTTAAGAAAAGTGAACTTGATTTACATTTCGCTTTTTTTCATTCTCTCTGTTTCTCTCACTCTCGCTCTTCACTCTCATCTGTTTTATACTCTACCTGCACTATACGTAACTTTTAAGCTATACTTAACAATTTAATATCGGTTGTATTACACATAATTTGAGCCATTAGCTTTCGCCGTTTCCTAGTTTCCTTAGATATTCCAGTAGTCCTATTGTCTGAATGTGTTTGTATCTTTCATTATACCTTGATTTTTGTATTTTATTGTTCTGCACTTGGCCTTGTCTTTCCATATTTCTTCTTCTCAGATTCTCTATTATTTCTTTGCCTTCTTTCTTAGGTTCTCTATTATTTCTTTTTTCTTTCTTTTCTGTTCCAATCCGAGTTTACTCAGCCCATTTCTTATTAGATAGTCTTCCCTTTCTTCCATACTCTTTGCCTTCTGTTTTTCCTCCTTTTCCCTTAAACATTCCTTTACTAGGGTTCGGCCTATACTCTCCCTTATCCCTTTTTCAAAGTTTAGGGCTCTTTGTCCTGTCCTTATCCTTTTCTCTCTTCGTCTCTTCCAAGACTATATACTCTGGGGTTCATATGTCCAAGCCTAGTATTCATTTTATGTACTTTATCTGGATCCTCTCAACTTCAGCCCTTTCTTGGAATCCCCACACTTTTATTCCGTACAATAACATTCCCGCTATCAGGCTGTCCCACATAAACATCCTCATCTTGAAATCTTGTTTAAATTTACGTTCCCCTATCCCCCATACCTGATTCAGTACTATCCTCGCTCTCCTGGTCCTCTTCTCTATGTACTTAATCATATTTCTGTTCCTTTCCAAGACTATTTCCAGATAATTAAACTCCTTGATTATTTCTAGTTCCTGCCTTTTCCATTTCCAGTCCTGATTCTTCGTTTTCATCCTTCCTTTTCCAAATATCATTATTTTGTCTACGTTCAGCGTCAAGCCTTTCCTGTCTAAATACTTCCCTAACATCATCATACTTTTTAGGTCCTCCTCCTTGGTTGCGAGTAAGACCACGTCATTCGTTGTAAAACCATAGTAGACTGAATGATTTTTCATGCTTCACAAAATAGTGCTATTAAATTAATAAAAAATTTTATTTATATAAAAGACCCCGCACCAGTGGGAAAAATTTTGAATTCTGAGAATATACATGGAATAAACATAGATAAATATGTTAAATATGTTAAATTTATTGGAAATACCACAGTTGGAAGTAGTTTTATTTCAAAGAATACCAAAGAAGGTGACAGGATTAATTCAACTATTCGATGTTTATGGTTTTCGAATTTGGAAGAATTTTATTAGAACATTAGATTTATTCATTGATTTTTATATACGAAACAATATCATAAAATTATAATCATTAACTTATAATCAATTATCATTGTTCCGTTTGTATAATCTTTTTAAATATGCTTGAAGTTACAGAAGTGCTCATTTTTTTCACAGACCTGAAACATTTGAAAATTGAATGAGTCTTTGTTATTTGAACATAGATTTTATCTGTATAATGTGTAGAAGCCCGCATTGTTGTGATATGCCTAGTGTGAATATTTTGTTTCGAATACTATTTTTGTAATGAATAAAATAAATACTTACAGAACGATAAATATGTATATATGTGTCTGTATATAATATGGTAATATATTATATTATATTATCGATTAATACTTAATTAACATTTTTTATAATACTAATTATAATAAATTCCTATATTCTGTTAACGAATAATAAATATTAATATTAATAATAAATATTAATTAAAATAAAAGTCAGAAATTTAACAATAATCGAATAAATCTTTGTCCATTTTATTGTTTTTATTTTTATTTTACGTCATACATAAAAATTAAGATTCACATACATACAATTGATAATGATACAGGTAACGCATCGTTCAAAGTATAAGTGTATAAGATGCATATATCGCATAAAATTATTTAAATGCCACATTATCCAATAAGATTAAATTTTGATTTATTATTTTATTGACAGTTATTATTATTTTTTCTTATAAATTTTTTACGAAAGAAGTTGCATAATATTTAATAAGGTTTTCTTTGATGTAGAACTTCTCTTTTTTTATTTAGTAACTTTTTAAAATTCATAAAAAAAAATTTCATTTTTATTTTTCATCGTGGAAGAATAAATTAAAATGATTATTTTCCTGAAAATTGTTTTTCTGAACAACGTCCATAATTCATTTCTTAATTAATCGATCTATTTTTATTAATTGATTTATCGATTTAACTTACTTGCTTATAAAACAGAATTAATATTAGATGATGGCATTTTGTTTTAAAATAAAGCTTTATGAATTTCTAGTTTATAATAATTATGTGCAGTAAAATATATTTTTTAGTAAACTTGTACACTTATTTATTTTTTAATTCACTTTTAACGTGGTATAAATCAAAATTTAAATTAATAAAATTAAATTTCAAATTAAAAGTAGACATTGAAAGACATTGAAACGAAAGTTTGACTATAATCATATCGTCAATTTGAACAATGTACGTCTATACTTAACATGGTCGTCCTCTTTTGTTGTTTTTATTAAGTCATTCATGAAAGTCTTTGGAACCATTTACAATTATTGAGAATTTATGCATTGGATTCTTATCTATAAAACAATATTTCAACAACAATCGGAATATTCAAGTTTTAAGCCATAAATACATACCGTTGCAAATTTGCAACGTTCTACATCATTATATCATCATCTAAATATGTGGCATAAAAAAAATTGTGTATTTAAGGATTAAGAATATACGAATAAAATTTAAAAAAATCTGACAACAGAAGTGAACAGAAATGACAGAATAAGTTTTTTATTTTACCTCCATTTATAGTTCTCTTTATCTTTTTGACATTCATACATGTACTCATTTATTCTCATCCGTTCTTTTGTCTTTATCTCTTCACATATCATTTATTGTTATACGTTTTTGTAATATTCAATTGCATCTCATATGACATATGATAGTATTAAGGCTTAAATTTATGGATTGTTCGTAATATTTCATTACTAATGTTTCATTACTAATCGTAATATTTTATTACTAATGTTATATCGTTAAGATCTATCGAGTTTTCTAAGTCTTCTGTTAATGGATATTTTTATGATCATTGATCTGATATTTATGTTTTAATATTCAAAGATCTTGTGATATTTTCTAATATACTATGGACCTTAATTATTTTTAGAATTTTTGTTTGTTACACTTCAATTTTCTTTTGTTAAATTTTGATAGAGTAATTTAGAATGGTATTTTGTATGTCTATAGTCCACAGTTATTTTATAAGAGAAATGTATATTTGGTTTATTAATGTTTTAGATTAATTTTCAGTTTTGAGCTTTTTCCAATTAGTTAGTAAGAGATCTTATGTTATGTATTTAATTTTGTTTTTTTATTTCTTTTATATTCTTATTTAGAACAAGAAATGTATATGCAAGTAAAATTTCAAAACATATAAATTATTTTTGTAATAATTAGCGTCATTAATTACAGTCGATGTTTCATGAGCGTTTTTAATAGTTTTTTCTAAATTAATTTTTATATGAAATTATTTCATATTTTTATTGTTTTTAATATTTTTTTTATATTATTTCATAATTTTGTTCAAAACGAAAATTTTTTTATAAATTAAACTTATTTACCCTTTTGTTTAAATTTTATTTTAAAATATTCAGATATTTATATTTGTTTAAAATGCCGTCAATGAAGAGATTTCGATTTTCTTTTGCTGCCTCTGTGTTTTACCATCAAGAGTAAATTTTATTTTTCTATTTATATATTTTTATATTTCCATACATAATAAAATATAATAACATAATATAATAAAATATATAATATTTATAATGTATGACCGGCTATGGAAATCGTCCTTATATATTGGATTGTCGTGCTGATTTTTAAGGAAAATTCAAAGGCAACATTTTTATGTGTTGATGTTTATTTATTCAATCATGTGTTCACCATTTTGTTGTACAACCTTTCTCCATCTTTCATGCAACTTGAAGATTCCATCCTTTCAGAAGTTTTCAGGTTTCATGATGAAAAACTACACAAAGTAGTTTTTTTATGCTGACCGAAGAGTTGAAATTCTTGCCATTAAGAAAATTTTGCAAAGACCTGAATTAGTGAAATTCTGAAGGTATAATGTTTGGTGAATATGGCTGGTAGAACATCCTAGTCAAGCTCCAACAATTTTTGTTGAGTAATTAAAGAGACATGAGGTCTGGCATTATCCTGATGGAACATGACGCCCTTTCTGTTAGCTAATTTTGGATATTTTTCTTGAATCGCTATCTTTTCGCTTCGTCCAGTTGCGAGCAGTATCTGAATTTATCGATTGGTCGTTTGGTAGGAGTTCATAATACAGAATTCCATTCCAATTCCACCAGACACAGAACGTGACTTTCTTCGGATGAAGATCGGTTTTGGGGGTAACTAATGGTGGTTCATCTCGTTTACTCCAAAATCTTTTCCGCTAAACATTTTTGTAAATGATCCATTTTTCATCGTCTGTCACTAATTACTTAAAAAACAGTGCGTTTTTGTTGCGTTTGTACAGAGAGTCACAGATGGAGATGCGATCCATTAAATTTTTCTTGATCAAATTGTGCAGAACTTATACATCATAGCGATTTATGTAATCAAGCTTTATTAAATATTTGTGGACAATGTCATGTAACGCCGGTTATCCTTGATCAGTTTATTTGGTGGTCTTGATTTGGTCATCATCAGTGGTGGAAGGTCTACCCGAGCGTTCTTAGTCTTTAAGGTTAAAATCACCAGCTCTAAACTTAGCGAACCACTTGAGAACAGTTCTTTCAGTTAAAGCATTTTCTTCGTAAACAGCACATATCTTATTTGTTGCTTGTGCCTTTTCGATAATAGAAAAGCATTAAGTGTCTAAAATACACTTTGTTTTCTTCCATCTTCCAAAACTGACACAAATCAATTTATTTTAAGCAACTTTTTTTCTAAAGATGCGTTGAAATGTCGTCTTTAAGAATATGTATGTACATAAATCATATGTTCTCAGTAACTTTGACATATTCAGACATGTTCCAATATCATCTAGTCTACTACTAATCGGCACGAACTTTCCGGACAACCAATACATTACTGCTGAATATTTTGAATTTTATTTATGGATAGTATTGATTTAAAAATATTTACAAATAGTATTTCAAGCACTTTAAGCACTAAAGCACATAGTAGTAAACGGAAGTGAAAATGACGTAAGGAACCACTACGAAAAACAACTTTACGATTGGACAAGACAATACACCGGCTGTCAGAAGCAGATCGATTTCAAACTGCAGTTGATATTCATCGTGAAATTTCGACTCGAATGAACACACAAATTAGTGTACACATTGTCCAACAACGTCAGAAGAGCAGAATTCGGATTAAAAGGTCGCGTTGCACGCAAGAAACCGCTTATAAACCAAAAAAATTGTAAAGCAAGATTAACTTTCGCCAAGGATTAGCTTTCATTCAGGATAATATTTACAGATGAATCCAAATTCAACTGTTTGGATCGGATGGAAGAACTTACGTAAGACGAAGAATAGGTGAGGAATTTAACCTGAAGTGCATAAGATCGACAATTAAAGGAAGAGGGAGTTCTGTTATGGTCTGAGTTGGAATGACTATAAACGGTCCTGGTCCAATTTGCCGTATAAATGGCATTATGAATCAGCATCAGTATCCTGGACAAAAATTTAATACCCTTTGTTGAAGAAAACTTACCAGAGGACTGGATATTTCAAGCAGACAATGATTCTAAACACACGTCTAGGAAAACTAAAAGATTTTTGAAGGAGCATAATATTAACGTCATGTGTTGGCCGGCACAATCACCTGATTTGAACTCCATTGAACATCTCTGAAATTATGTAGAGAAAGAAGGTAAAACCTTCCAATTTAAATAATTTGTACAATGTAATCGAAAATGCGTGTAAAAACATTTCATCCGACCGATGCATTACACTTATTAATTCTATGCTTCGTCGCTATGCTGAGGTGATAAAAAATAAAGGTGATCCAACAAAATATTAATTACTAGTTATCAATATGTTGTATAAGTAAGGAAATTTATATTTAAAAAATAAAATAAGTTACTTTTTGAAACAAAATTGGTGTTTCCCTATTTAACTGCCCGTCCAATATTTCCCGTTTTCAACAATGCATATTTTTGTTAAAAATCAGATAATGTTAATTTTACAAACTATATTTATAAATGAAGTTAAGGAATCGTACTTTCAACATGTGCAAACAGAATAGAAGAAATAGTATTATCATTAGGACACTGCATTAAATGAAAAATACTTTTTTTCTATTTATGCTCGTTACTGTATATGTATTCAGCGATACAATTTGTATGACTAAACGATATAACTTCAATTGAGTAACGATTGTACGACTCAAATGTGATTTCTCAACTATAATTTCTCAATTCAACTCAACTATGACTCTTATTCAACTATGATTTCTTAATTTAAATCAACTGTTCGACTCTATCTTGACTTTTGTCTTCTCTCTAACTTACTTTTTTTTATATTGTTACATTCCTCATTTTTTTCAGACCCGATAACAATATTTTCCCAACATCTGTATCTTTTCCACTATTTGGCTCTTATAATGGCCTTGTCCCTTAATATAAAACTAATCTACCAGACTAAAGTTAAACATATAATTAAGTTCCAATATTACATTATTATATTATATTATTTATGTTATATTTATATAATTATTAATTTACAGATCAGAAGAATAATCAATGCAATGAAAAGATACGTCAACCTTTAGACCCTATTGAAACATATAATTTATTAAATGTACATAATAATTATATAAATTTCAATATTCCTTACTATGGATGGAAACTATTCTTTGATGATGAAGGTAAAAACATTTTTTATATCTATTATTAATTTTATTTATTATTAATTATTATTAATAATAATGTACTAATGGTTATATAAAAATAATTTATAAGTAGGTTCTAATATTGAAAAAAAAGTTTTGTTTTAGATTATAAAAATGATTCTGATACTGTTAAAAAAATTCAAATAATAATAAGTTTTATACATAGATATCAGCGATTATCAATGCTACTTTCGTTAGAAAATTTAGAAAATGGGATAGTTTTTATTATTGACATGTATGAATTATACAATGATCAAATTTTTTTGAACGAATGGCCAAATTTTAAAAAAGATATATATGAAAATCCATTGCATACTTTAAATTGTTTTAAATTAGCTGTGCACCAGGTATACTCATAATATTTCTTTTTATAATATTATATATTTATTTAAGAAATATTAAGTTTTGTATTTTTAGCAAATCTTAAATTCAGTTCCACAAGAAAATTTAAACTCTATAAATATAATAACTACACTCTCTACTGTTAGAATAAAAATATTAAATTATGAACCAATTATATCTTTGCAAGACTTGAAAGCAAATTCTTATGGTATGTATACAATATAAATATTGAGTATAAATAATTATAAATATATCTGGAAATAATTCTCGTCTTTACTTAATTTATTTAATAGGAAGATTAGTATCGATTAAAGGCTGTGTAATAAGAGTAGGTCATATAAAACATCTTGCACAATGGATTGTATTTGCTTGTCGTAAATGTAATTTACAGAAAATAATGAAACAATCATTAGGAGTTTACACAATTCCAAAAAAATGTGATATATGTGGTACATCTAAATTTCGTGCAATGTTGGATTCACCATTGGTGAAAAGTATCTTTTTCCAAACGATTAAGATACAAGAACATTCAAATAATGATCAGGTTTTTAATTTTATTACAAATAAAAGATAATCTTTATGTTATGCAAGTATGTGTTTGCATACGTGCATGTAAATGGATAATTATTAGGAATGTGGATCTCGCCGATTTCAATGATCTTGAAATACATATTAGGCGAAAAGTAATGTCGTTTTTTGTGTGTTATTTTGAAACTAATTGTCGTGCAACTGCGCCGAAGTACGTTAATTGTTGATACTATTTTTAAGCTCTTATACTGTTACCGTTTTCATTTCATTTTTTTTATTTTTACAGATAGTAAAAATGTCAAGGCCAAAGATCGAAGAGGTGCAGTTGCGGTCTATTTTGTTATTTTTGTTTGACAAAAGATTAAAGACCAAAGAAGCTACAAAAAATGTTAATAAAATTTACGGCGAAATCTTGAATATCTGTAAATAGTGGTTCAAACAATTTAAAAACGGCGAAAATACCGAAATCTTAAGAATAAGCCGAAATCTGGAAGACTATAAACAATCGATGACAACGTGTTGAAATCATTGGTGGAATCAGATCCGCGTAAAACCATTAAGGAATTGTCGCAGGATATCAGCTGTCCTTGGTCGACTGTAAAAGATCATTTAAAAAGGCATAAAACGCAGGAAGGGAGTTTGTATTTCGTACGATCTATCGTCGTTCGCTTTAGATCAGCGAGTGACCATTTGTTTTTCGTTGCTGACCAAGTAAGAAATCGATCCGTTTTTGAAAAGAATTGGGAAACGAAATATGGACCCTTTAGAGCAATCCACATAGAGGAAAAAAACAATGGCTTTGTCCAGGTCAAAAACCGGTTTTAACACCTCATCCATCTTTGACATTAAAAAAGGTTCTTCTTTTATGTGTCTGGTGGAATATTTCGAGTGTGATTCATTATGAATTATTAAAACTTGATCAGTCTATCACAGAGATTTGCGCACAATTGCAAAGATTAAAGGAATTACTAAAAAAAATGATCCGTTTTGGTGAATAAACAACGACGCATCTTGCAACAAAACAATGCGAGGCCGCATGCAACGAGAACTTAAGATTTCGTGTCGTTTAAATTGTTTGAACTACCGTTGGCATTCACGGACATTCAAGATTTCGCCGTAAATTTCATTAACATTTTCTGTAGCTTCTTTGGGCTTTAATCCTTTATTAAAAAAAAAATAACAAAATAGACCGCAACTGCACTTTTTCGATCTTTGGTCTTGACATTTTTACTATCTGTAAAAATGAAAAAAATGAAATGAGAACAGTAACAGTAGGAACAGAACTTCAAAATAGTACCAACAATTAACGTACTTAATCGGCGCAGTTGCACGACAATTAGTTCCAAAATGACACACAAAAAACATTACATATCGCTGTATCTAATATATCATCAAGATACTCATACATCTTACTACTGCAGATCTTCACTATTGCTTTTTTGTGATATTCGTAAAAAACTTCAGCGTCATTTCCAGAAAATGTATCATCTCCAGAAATTTTTAAAGTATATAAACTCAATGTTTATCAATAGGATCTTTAGCGACTCAAAAGTTAAGACTCCAAATTTTGTGAGAAAATTTGGAAATAAAAGGTATACGAGGAAATTATTCGGAATAGAAACGATTCCATCGATGTTTGTCAATTTAAAATAATCTAATCCAATTAATTTAATTCATATCTAATAAAATATAATAAAATATCCATAATAAAATAAAATATCCATAATAAAATAAAATATAATAAAATATAATAGTATTGAAAATGTTTTTATGTGTAATATATCTTTCATTTATGTAAGTTGTTAGTCGCCTTGTGACCTACTTCAAATACTAATTTAAAAAGTTTAAGTTAGATAAATCTCCGCGATGAAACCCAGGTGGATATATTGTATTTATATTAAAATAATTCACACAAATAAACAATTCTTAATGAACAAATTATTTATCGGACTCAAGAAAATTGTTTTTAAAATCGGTGAATCATTCCTTATATTCCTAATAATTATTATAAAACGAAGAATTTCAACTCATTTTATAAAATTCGGTTTATATACAGAATGTTTCGTTACCAGAATGGTAAGAATTAATACTTCATTATCTATTTTTGGAAGTATGAAAAAACTTTATTCGCAACGTTGTTCAATATAAAGGAAATTATAATGTGGCAGTACCTATTAATTTTAAGTGGAGGAATTTCGGAAGGTCGCTTCCGTTTAAATGGAATTATATGTTAAATTTTGGAATTATTATAAATTTTTTTAATATATTAACTGATGTAGCTCTACAGTCTTTGTGAAAATATATTAACCTATGTATGTAAAACAACTATTAGTTTAGGAGATATTTTAATTTTAATTCTGTAAACTCTAACGTACAGATGTGAACGAAAGTATTTGCACACTTGATGAAAAATTATCGATACTTTAACTGTTACAATTTCACTAAAAAGAGTCGTAGTTGTCTTATTTTTATTGCCACTAGTCATAGCTTCAAGCAAGAATATTTTTTTCTAGAATATTGTAAAAATTAAAACGCGAAATATAAAAAAACTTGTTTATTACTAAATGATCTTGAAGATTGAAGTTTCCACGGCCTCTTAAAACTTACTGTACGATTTTTTCTTGCCATTTAATTAAACTGCAAGCATGAGGATTAAATGGTAAAACATTTACCATTTAATCCTCCCCAAACATAAGATTTTTGAATTTTGTTGTTTAATTCTGTCATTCAAGGTTTAATAAAATAGCAAAAAAAAATTGTATAATAAGTTTTAAGGAAGAACTTCGATCTCTGAAATTATGATAAATCTAATCTTTGTGAAAAGAAATTTTCAATGATCTTAGAAACGCCTAAATTTTTACAATTTTCGAAATATTCTTGCTTTTTCACCTGCTGCATCTTTGAAAAAAAAAATAAGAAATAGAATAGAGAGTTTAAAAAATGAAGCCAACTGGATCGTTGTATGATTTTGTTTCACGAATTGATTATTGATTTTTCATCAAACGTACGAATACGTTTGCTCTGTACCGATATCTTATTCATATCGATGATTTTTAATATGTTGCAGAACTCAATATTTTAAACAACTTTTTCCTATATAAAAAGTATAACAGTCTGTTTTTATTGTTAGAGATATTAGCAAAAAACGAAATGGCGATATACGTATATAAGTAGCATATATAATTGCATATGGGGCTGTAAAAAACCATTATTGAAACTTTTCATTTAATAATAATCACCAAATATTGTGATACATATCGATACATATCGACTTTATTACAAAATGAATCTCCTTTGAATGTTCTATATTAGAATCAATAGCTTTGCAAATAATAAATAACGATTGTAATTTCTTTGTGTTTATTTATATTGACAATGTGCAATAAAAGAATAAATTATTTTGATTGTAAATATTAAGAACTGTAAAAAATGAGTTGATTTATAATTATCTATAAATTATCACAATGTCTTATATCTTATTTTAGTATAGAAATGTGTCTTACATATATTTTTTTTGTATACAGAATAATAAAGGAAGTATGCCTAGAATGGTTGATGTTGAATTAATGGATAACTTGGTCAATACTTGCATGCCTGGAGATGATATTACTTTAACAGGAATTATAAAGGTAAAGTATACTTACGTGGTAAATTACAGTAAAATGTCAGTGTTTATAATTGCTTAATTTATATTTATAGTTATAGATTTTTCAACAAATTTTGGCTATGTACATACATGAATTATATTTTTAAAGTTTTGTATTTGTTGCATTTTTTCTCGCAACATATTTAACTTTGTTCTACTTTAAATATTATTATATTATTTTTTAACTAAAATTTCAATTTTTGAGATTTTAAATCTCAATATTCTACACGTGACTAATTGAAGAATGTTTATAAAAAAAAAAACTATAAAAGTTATCCAATTTTAACCTATTTGGTAAAATTTAATTTATTTTTAATGCTAAGTGTTAAAAATACAATAACCCGAATATATAAAAAATTTTTCATTTTTAGCGTTAATATGATACGTGTTGAGTGAATGAAAATGTCCAGTAGATCTGGGTAATGTGGTTGACTTTGAAATGAACAATCACTGTATAGTACTCTGAATATAATCCTACAAATTTTTATTTTAGTTTCAAGGTTGAATTTTTTCGAATTATTTGTAAAAAATCTTTGAACATTAAGTTGTTTGAATTCATTATATACTTTGGATCGCAACTCCATTATATAATTTAATCCCAACTCGTTCTTATAATCGCTCTATAAAATTTCGATTTTCTTGTTGTCTCTTTCTCTTTTACTTTTAAATGAACTCAGTGCGTTCACATAGTAGAACCGTAACTCTTTTTGTCGATCCTCGTACATTGTATATTATATGTTGGTATACATGAGAAATAGTTTGAGTATACAGTTTTAGTATACAAAATAGTCTGTGTAATTTAATTATTTCTAATTTCTAAGGTATGTACGTTGTATACAAAAATTGGATGGTTTGAAGGAGTACATTATGTAATGTATATATTTTTCATGATCATCTCTATTTTTTAATATTATTTTTTTAAATAATTAACATTTTAATTACTGCGAATTAGTATAAAATAATCTCTAAAAAAATTTGACTGTTATATGTAAAAAAAATTTATTCAAAATGTAGTGTTTTACATTTATATTATGTATTTAAAAATCATCGAAATTAATGAAACATTCAGTTTCCAATTACTTCATTTTTTTTCATTTATTGATTTAAGCAGAAGCAACGCTATCTGTAAATGCTTGTATTTTATTTTATTTTATAATATTTTATCCTATCTTCACGAACAGAAAAAAATTTATCATTTATTGATGTATACTTTTAACCAACTAAATTAATAATTAGGGATTCCTTTTTCTACTACTCCGTGTTTCTAAATTAAAATGTGAGATGACATATCGCGGTTCATATATAGATGAGACTCACCTAAACTTATCCACATTAAAATATGTAAAAAATATCAAAACAGGGATATGTATCAATTATAATAATATGTTTATTACATATATTATTATACATAATTATTAAACATATAATGTAAATATGTATATTATTATTACTAAAATATTTATTATTATATGTTATAAATATTTCGAAAATTAAGACGAGTTACATTTGCATTATGATTATATATAATAGAAAATATGTAGTTGCTCAGTATGTCTCTGACAACAAAAATCACTGAAATCGGTGAAATGAATCTATAATTATCTAAAATTTATCATAAATTATCTAAGATTTATAATAAAAGTTTTTAATAAAATGTTATTGCTAAAATATAATAAATTTTATTTGAAATATTACTTTAAATATAATATTTCATCATTGCACGAGAAGTTTATAATATTGTTTTTATTTCCTATAATTTCTTCTATCTAAATATAGAATTATTTTAAATCATACTAAAATTATCACATTGAAAATAATTTTATCTATTTAAATAGATTCCTTAGGAATCTCAATAACCTTCACACTTCTAAAAATTTGACTTAAAAAACCAACAAAATATGTATTTTTATTCTAAACATTTCTTTCGCATTATTAAATATTTTAAATTCTAACTTTTGAGATGATTTATTTGTACAATGTTTTATTAATATATTATAATACATATTTTACTTTTAATGTTATAATGTTATAAAAATATTAATATGATATACTATATTATACAGGGTACTAATAATGCTAAGCCTCGAAATAAAATTTCATTTTCTTTATATATGGAAGCTATTTCAATAGTTAACAATAAACAAAGACTTCAAAATAAAAATATCATAAATAGTGAACTGACAATAAAGGATTATTTAGCAATAAAGGTATATAAATTGTTAATTTATTTTATCATAGTTTAAGTAATTTATGTTGTTATGAAATATTATTTTTTTATTAACTTTGATAGGAAGTATATAACACACCAAATATTTTTTCACTTTTGGTACATTCCTTATGTCCAAATATATATGGGCACGAAATTATTAAAGCTGGATTGATATTAAGCTTATTTGGCGGATCTGTAGAATGTTCAGAATCACGAGAAAATATTCATATCTTAATAGTTGGTGATCCTGGTCTTGGAAAGTCACAAATGTTACAAGCCTGTGCACGAATTGCTGCTAAAGGTACAGTACAGGATAATAATTTTATTATGTAATTAAGTATATTTTCAAAAGATCTATAAGAATAATTTTTATAGGTGTATATGTGTGTGGAAATTCAAGTACATCCTCTGGTTTGACAATAACGCTAGCAAAAGAAAATAAAAATAATAATTTTAGTTTAGAACCAGGAGCATTAGTTTTGACAGATAGAGGTTGCTGTTGCATAGATGAATTTGATAAAATGTACAAACAACATGCGGTAAAACTATTAAAATTATTTAAGTATCAAATTAATTGAAACTATTAAATATTATGTTTTTTATCAAATACCAAAAATATTATATTTGTGTAAGAAATAATTTACTTTTTTATTATGAGATAACATAATAAATTACAAAAAACTTTTTTAAATTTTAGGTTTTATTAGAAGCTATGGAACAACAAAGCATAAGCATTGCAAAATCAGGAATAATATGTTCTCTTCCTACTAGAGCATCAATTCTTGCAGCTGCTAATCCAATTAATGGTCGATTTAATAGAAGTAAAACAGTAATTCAGAACTTAAAAATGAGCATTCCTCTGTTGTCACGTTTTGATTTAACATTTTTATTACTAGATGAACCAAATGAGGTGAATATTTAATATTTAATAATTATACATAAATGAGTAAACACATTATGTATGATATTATGTTTTCTGCATGCAATAGCATATAGATGATTTATTATGTAAACATGTTATGTCAGTTCATGCTGATTTAAACGCAACTGACAGTATTCAAAGTAGTATGTCTCAACATATGAATGTACCACATACAGATAAACTTTCATTAAGGTAATTAAATCATATTAATCTTTTAGATTAGAGATAGATTACTTATAATGTTTATTTTTCACAAAACAAATTGTTTTTAGGAACAGACTGACATCTTCCATAACAGAAAATATGAATATCATTCCACAATCAATTCTCAGAAAGTATATTTCGTATGCCCGACAATATGTTAAGCCAAAATTAACTAAAGAAGCAGCTATAATATTACAAAATTATTATTTAGAACTTCGAAAAAGGAATAATAAATTTAGTGGTTTATCTATCTGTAATAGACAATTAGAAGCAATGATACGATTAACAGAGGTTTAATTTTTCTAGTGTACAGTTGTTGCAGTATATATACAGAATAAGACATCTAAAAAAAATGTATCCAATTAATCTTGCTTGGCGTTGTATATAATCTGATGTTTTTTCGCATAAAGTGAAGTGGTCAACTTTATTTTTTAAATGGAATCATTTTTTTATACTATAAACATTAAAGTTGAAATATCTACCAATAAGTTTTCTTATATAAATAAATCAATACTTTTTATAGTGAAGAGAATTTATTAAAGATTTAAAATTGTTAAATTATATGATTTTATTTTAAAAAGCGAAATTGAAAATTTATTATATTCTTTGCATGCTCATCTATTAAATATTAGATTACGTGTATTTGGAGACCAAGCAAGTTTGATGTATTTTTTTCTATTATCAATAAATATTCAGATATTTTAGATGCTTCATTTTGTATATTTTGAATTTTTCCTTTTTAAGAAATGAGAATTAAATTTCAAGAATTGAAAATTATTATACAGGCTAGAGCAAAATTGGAATTACGTACAGAGACAACAGAAAAAGATGCTTTGGATGTAATAGAAATTTTACAATATACATTTGAAGATAAAATTACAAATTGTCAATCCTTAAGTACAAAGAATGTAACTAATGGAAGAGTAAGTAAATTAATGTAAATTTACAATGATAGGAAATTGTAAAATAGTAATATGTATTTTTTATTTAAAGGTTAAAGAATTTATAAAAATATTAAAGAAAGAAACAGTTTCTAACAGCAATAAAATATTTTCCATGAAAAGATTAAATGAAATCGCACTGGACAATAAATTTTTAATGAGTAATTTTCCTGAATTTATTGCGAAATTAAATGAAAATGGCATTTTGCTGAAGATGGATAGTAATACGTTTAAATTTATTCCATAATAATTATATAATTATATGAAATTAACTATATACATATTTATTATATTATGTTCCTAAAAGCTTAAATAATTTATTCTGTTAATTTTAGGATATTATAATTGTAGTAAACAATAATATTTTATTACTAAAATGGCATTTAATAAAAGCGACATTTATTAGAAAATTATTAACACAATTATAATATCCTAAAATTTTTTAATATCCTATAATAATATAATAAAAATAATAAAAATAATTATATAATAAAAATAATTGTAATATCTTAAAATTTTCAGAATTATTTTGGGACATTATACTGTCGTATTAATATTATTTGCTGTATTTTATTAACATAAATTAAATAGATTTTTTAAATAAATTTTTATTAACATTGTTATTCAATTTTTTACACTTCAAAACAGTCAGCTTTACATGGAAGACGCCAATATAGGTACAGGCAGCATTTTGGTTCTGAGATATGAAAACAACCAGGTTTGCGACAAGGTTTTTTGGGAATATATATTTTTGATTGTGAAACACGTGGAGGAGGTATAGTGACTTTGCAAAATCTGTGTAATAAAAAATTTTTAATCTTATTTTTTTATAAAGATTTATATATTTCATAATTAAATATTATATATCATATATAACTATATATAAATATATGTATCTAAGGTTTTGTTGCTAACCAAGGTATAAAATATATTAATTATTGATATCCAAACTAACATAGTAATTGTTTTTAATCTGTGCCGAACGGACAAAAATAACATAAATTTTTATTCTTTTAATATGGAAATAATTCAATTAAAGCATTGTGCTGTAATTTTGGTTAAACATCTTGCAGCACATGCAGGTGGACAATATGGAATACATTTCGGTGGGCAAGGTCCGGACGGCACTGGCGGTGTACATATAGTAATTTTACATGGTGATGGACATGCTACACAAATTGGTGAAACACATGGATAAGCTACACACGATGGATAAGATGGTAATTGGTACTGGATCACAGGTGGCGGATAACAAGGTGATTTGTAACATGTTAAAAAATTTCCTCCACAAGACATTGTATTTCTTTTCCTTTTTTTTTATTAATTTTTTGTTGTATATTATTTTTTATAATATTATAAACATGAAATTTTGATATTGCTATTTATACGAAATATCTAACAATTGAAGTTTGTGTGAAGATATCATTCATTTATTATATATTAAAGACATATTCAGAGAATGTAGTCAATTTTTTGGAATAAAATATTTTAGTGCCATAAATCGAATGATAAATTAATAGGGTAAAAATATACTAAAAATATAATGAATATGTAAAAAAATTTATATTCTGCAATTTTTATAAAACTTGGATAATATCAAAATTTTTGTATTCAATTATTTGAACATAATTACTGTTAAAAATGCCGTGTGATGGACAAAATCCAAATTGTGACAGAAGACGGGAATTATTAGCTCAGTTAAAATGTTTGATTAATTCTATGGAAAAAAAGTAAGGAAGTAGAATGAAATGAAATTAATGAATATAAATAAAGTTATAAATAATTTATTATAGGAAAGCATGTGAATGGGATGAGCCACCTTGTCCACCTCCTGTTATTTGTTCTGCACTTTGCACATCTAATATTTCTGATTGCGTAAGTATAAATTGATTTAAATGTATAAGTTGTAATCATTTAAGTAATATACGTACATTTAGTGATATTGTATTCAAATCATTATAAAACTAGATCATAAATATATTTATGCATTTATAGGAAATTAAAAGATGCAAAAATGTATATAATATTAAAAAATATATAAGATATTCAAATATATACGATATTTATTATAATAGCAAAATAAATTCGTATTTAAGTGTTATTATTATTCGCATTATTTTCTTAATTACATTTTTAAAAAATTTAAAAAGTGCACAAAAATCTGCACTCTATTTATAATATACCAACAAAAAGTAAAATATCCTATTGTTTAAAATGTTTCTGGAGAAAATTTTAAAAATAATACATATATTATATTATAATATAGATATATATCTATAATATAGATATATATCTAATTAGAATATAAAGTAAATAAAATATTTAAATATATACAGGCTGTACGCGTTAAGTTTTGTCACCAGTTTTTAAGCATTTCCGGTAGTGCAATTAAAAAATGACCAATAAACTATGATACAGAGCTCCGCTCTGTGTATTAGACGTTTTGTTGTCATTATAATTACGCTGTCTTTGTTACTTTTGTCGCTTCCCATATTATGTATGCATTTATCACATACGCTCCAGAGTCATCAGTAAGACATCATTTCAAAGTCATAGTATAATACATTGTTGAATTCGTTTCGACATCAGCAACAATCCTATGATATCAAAAACATATGGTGTCATTTAAAAAAGTCAAGGTGACCTTGATTTTTTTACGTAAAAAGCATTTTTTGAGATTTAAGGATATGGGAACATGTAGCCCTCCAAATACTAAAACAATTTGTTTGAAACATTTTTTAATTGCACTATCGGAAATGACAAAACTTAACGCGTACACCCTGTATATAAGATGAATTAATAAAAAATTTTACTTTTTCAGTTATTTTCAAAACTAGAAAATTTTTAGCAAGATATTTTGCTAAGTCATTTATATGTAATATAAACTTACAATTGATGTTATTTGTGAAACATATATAAATATAATATATCATTATATTTGCTAATAACTATCAAGTAAAATAAAAATATGTAGTATAATACCAATCAACATGGATTATAAAAAGTTGTTTTGAAAATGTTCTGTAGATTGCTAGTATTAATAGAGTGTTATATAAAATACAGAATATGTTTGTATTATATTATACAGATTTCTGCATATTATTATAAAGAAAATATAAATTTGTTACTAGCTTTTAAGTTCAAGAAAATTGTTATAATTTTCATGTTATCTTCATGATCAATTGAGCATAAAGAATTACAACAATAACAATTATTGAAATTAGTATTATTTTAAATTAGGATAATTTTGTTTAGAAAATATTTATTCAATTTTATTCACAATATTTGTTGGAAATACTTTTATCAAAAGAGAAGGATTTCATTAAATTATAGTAATATAATTAAATAAATAAAAGATTAATTAGAAAAAGCTATTAAATAGCAAATTTCTTTTATAACTATTATTTTGGTTTTAAGCGTATACCATTTGCACGTTGACTTTCACAAGGATGAAGTGAATATGTATTTATTTTATTTTAAAATATTCTTTACAAATCATGCATTTTATACATACAATAATAATCAGATAAGAATTTAAAATAAGCAGTAAATAATAAATATAATTATTTAATATATTTTGCTATAAGACATAAAGAAGTATAGCGAAATAAAAAGAAAAAGATAATAAAGAGAATATTTTCTTTACTTTTTTATACAAATAATATCTTTTTATAAGTAATGACGAGTTGTACCAATTAATATAATAGAAAACAGATCCATTTAAAAAACAGATCTTTATGCGCCCATCTATAAAAATATATAATCTATAAAATCATTATATTTTCATCTGCAACATATTATTGACATAAATCAAGATGGTAATATATTATTTTTTCGCATTAAATTTAACACTTATAAATTCTGATTTATTGGAGAGTGAAGTTCTTTTGAAAAGTTGTCGTTTATACTGGTAGTTATCTTTATTTAGGAAGCAGGTGGATAGCTAATGGAAGTGACGTCTTACACGAGTGCTATGTAAAAAATTTCTCACAAATGAATACTGCATTTATCTCTTCGAGAATGATTGCGATATCGTTTGCTTTCAAGTAGAAATGAATGAGTTTCATTTTCTAAAGATGTGTATTTATTGACGAATAATTTGCAAATATTAGTGAGAATTTTATATAGTAGAAACTACGTGCAAAAAACATATAGACAATAGCAACGAACTGTTCGTGAATATTAATGCGGACTTGGGAATATAGTTTAAGAGTAAACTTTCGAGAATTAATCTCAAACGCCATTATCTGCTGAGAATATTGTTTTGAAAAGTATCAGCGATTGATTAGTACGAAATTTTGAGCGGAAAGGAGAGGAAAGCGACTCTAAATCTTAGCTTCAGATATTTATTAGTTCCTGAGATATTAATAATGATATCACTCAGTACCTATAGGGTACCCTATGTAAAATCGATTATTATAATTTCGATCGAATTTTATACCATGCATCATTGGTAACTAATACCAAGGTTAATACTTTATTCTTTAAATTCCAATTATGTTTTTGTATCATTTGTATGATTACTTTGTATGATTACATACAATTTTTATGGTTTCTAATGTGTACGTCTTATTGTTAGTTGATAAATTATCTCCATTTATATTTATCCGTAAATCTGTCGTAATACACAATTTTTGTATATGAGATAATTTTTCAATTATATTTCTTTTACTTTCTTCGTACTTTTTATTTATTCAAGATTTTATTAATTTTCTATTAGGAAACAATACTTTAGATCGCGAAATTTTTCTAAAGCAATTTATCCACTATTTTTTTATAATCGATAAACGTTGAAGATGGTACTAAATCTACACTCAAAAAATTGATTTTTAATCAGAATTATTATCTGAAGGAAAAAAAAGGACTTCTATACATAATACATAAAATGAAATCATACATAATAATAATACCTAAAATATACCGTATTTCCATATATGCACTTTAATTGTGAACATGTACTAATTGAAATAGAATTAATGAAGTATTTTCGTAAATGTGGCAGTTTTCTAATGAAACATCGTCTTCCTTTTATTTAGATACATCATGAATTTTCACATATTTAATCAAATTAGTAATATATTTATAAAATTTTAATTTCTTAAAATATACATATAACATAAGAGTTTTAAGATTCTGAATAATAATCTCATACCAAGAACATTTTGGCATGTTTGTTATCCGTCGATTTCGGAATTTTTGGAGTGAAAATAAATCAGCGCTACTTTGTACAATAGTCAAATATAAACTAATGGTAAGCATAAACTAATGGTAAGCAAAGCGTAAATTAAAGAAATAGAAGGAGAAGAAGAAAAAGAATATATTTATATATACATACATACGCTTATTGATATAATGATAAAATAATATTTTACATTTCATCTACCTAATTTCATTTGAACTAGCCTAGATTTCGATATTAATGTGTATATTCTAAATTGTATATATAGAGATTTGAGAAAGTAGATATGTGTGCGTGCGTGTCGTGTGCGTGTGCGTGTGTGAGATATAATTTATTTTGCAAATGTTGAATAGGATGGAATTTTATACTGTGGTGCAGTAATTATTCATTAATGAACGAACCTGAATCTTCCATTATACTATATGGCTGTAAATCTAACGCCATCATTCGAACACTTAAATATGTGCTATTGGTGCAGTTTTTGTCATAACATTTGCATGTATATCGGGATTGTGATTTTAAATGACTGCAATAGAGCAGTCATGTTTCTATATTTCGTTTTGAATTCCTGTTCACATTTTATCTCTTTCTTGACATTTATTTTCTCAAAGATCATTTTTCATGTCTACTTGTGCTTTATACTTTCACTATCATTACTAATATTACACTTTTGTTTCAGAATTTATAAATTTCGATAAAACAATATACGTTACTTCTAAGTTTTATGAAGTATTTATGAATTGCAAAGATTAGAGTAATAATATTTGTAAATATTTTCAATTCAATTCGATGAAGCTCGTCTCGAAATTTCATCTCGAATCCCGAGCCGAAAAAGAATTCGTGATCCACTCTGTGAGTACTTGAATTTTTCGGGTTTCGCACTTGACCCGACACAATCCGAATAATTTTGATCTGACCTGATATTTCGGGTTCTCACACATCTTCATCAAATTGTTTCTATTCAGAGTCAAACGATTCCTTTGACTAAATCAAGTTGATGAAAAATTGGAGAAAACATTTATCGGCTTCATTGTTTCTGGATCTCAAGATATTTTAAAAAATCTCTGATATATCTTATAAAATCAATGATTTATGGCACGAAGTTTCCACTGATGTAGTCAGTTTCAGTTCTGATAAATCAATAAGGCCTTGATTCTTTTCTTCAAGAAAATGTATTAAAATTTACTTAGAAAAATTATAAAAAAATATGGTTTTTAAATATATTGTTTAAACAAATAGTTTTTTTTGCAAAATATACACCATTAAAGTTGTTAAAGAATTAACTTTATCAATTTACATAAAAACTGTATCCTTAATAATTTCGAAGATATTTAACAAAATATGTTCCAGATCCACTTTTGAGAGTAGTTTTTATCCCTTCAACATTGATGATTGTCGATAAAAAAAATACATATCAAATATTTTGTTTGAAAACTACATTTATGCTAATTTTATCAAAATCAGTGATTGACACTTCGATATGTTTCTTTGTGAGAATCATATTCTAGATAATGTATTTCAAGGTTGTTAAAATCGATGGGGAAGTCCATATTCTCAATAATTATCAAAACTAATAAGCACAACATGTGAATAATTAGAAGATTAATGAAGAAAAGATAATAACAGAGAATATTTATAGAACAGATAAATTCAGATGATGAAGGACATAAAGCATCATACTTTACATAGTTTTAGAATAGGTATAATCATTTTGACTTACAATTAAATATGTTAAGGATATTTATTGGTATATAAAGAAGGAAAAAAACGCAAGATATTACATGCAGTAATAAATGTAGATACAAATTATGCATGAAAAAGGAAAAATTCTAACAATAAGTATGATAGAAAAATGAAAAAAAAAAGGGAATGTGCTATGATGAAAGAGGAGCAAGCAAAATAGATTAAAACTGAAAGTACAAGATACTAATCAATAGTAAGTAATTTTGAAAAAAATATTTGTAATTCAGATTCAATATTAGATAACGATAGTTTACATATAAAAAAAGATAAAAATTCAACTGAAAAGAAAAAAAAAACTAACAGAGAAGATATACAGAATAACAAGAATAAAAATAACGGAATGAATAAAACGAAAAGGAACCAAATAAATTACATAAAAAATTTAAATGGATGAAGATAAAAACAGCTACGAAAAACAGGAAAAATAGAAAATAGAACAAATCTTGATTTAGCAAATGCATATATATCAACAAGTTAAAGGATTTTAATGATTGAATTTGAATGTTGTATTTCAATGGTTTATACATATTATATATAATGTTTATACATATTATATTATAATGTTTAAATAAAGAAATACTCATAATTAGATTAATGATATATGAAGAAGTTCGGAAAATTTAAAAAAAAATTGGAAGGAAATCCAAACTTTAAGACAAACAGTGATTGTCTAACATAATTTAAATCGCGTCATCATAATTAAACGTTAGTAGAGAAAAATTTTCTGCAGATAAAATTGTTACAGAGACTTTTAAGACTTTTCTAATCAAAGAAGAATATAATTTAAATAGTATTTATAACGTTGATCAGATGGGTTTAATATGGAACTACTGCCAAGAATAATGTTTCTTGTTATGAAATAACAATTCTCAATCGCGAAGTTTGTAAAAAACTTATTACGGTACTAGTTTGTACAAATTGTACAGAGTCTCATTGGCATTTTTAATGTCAAGGGTCGAGGTGTTTCGAATATTAATATGTCTATTATGCCACTTGTATACATGGCTCAAAAAGATGCTTAGAATTAGATGGATAATATTGTATTTATTATTTTTTTTTTATTACGCTATAAAACCCGCTACTGGGTTATTAGCAGCATGCACATTGCTGTGCATACTAACAGTACAGAGAAAAATTCGCATGCTTTTTGTCTTGAAAATTACACGGATATACGACTATGATACATTTTATGTTTACCTATTTATAACTAGAACTTAAGGATATTGTTAAATTGTTAAAAGTCATTGCTAAGTACTCGATACAAATTAATTATAGATTTTTTTAGGACTTTTAAGACTAGTTTCTACGCCTACAAATACACCGACTTCTTCTAAGCGTTTTTGTAGTTCCTCTTTACGACTGCAAATTCTTCTACACACACACACACAGTTTCAGTAAAGCAGCTTCAGTCCAGTTCTAGAGCAGAGGTCACGGCTATTTAAATTCATGGCTGTGCAGATTAGGATTGGATGTATAAATTAATGGGAGTAGCATCCTCTGATGATATGGAGAAATCGGTGTCCGAGTCTGGGTTCTGAGATGAGAGAGGTTCATCTTCATTGTCCTTTTCTTCGGTCTAACTACCATGTAGTTCAAGTTTTTTTATAATTCGTGAAATTCTGTTTTTGATAGACCTATTTGCCAAGCTCGGATTTCACGCAACATTTTGGTTAGCGAAGAAAGATGTAGAATTGTGCCAACTGCACGATGTCTGGATTTTCTTTGGCTTTAGTTATAAATTCTTTATATGTTATAAATTCTTTACTGTTCGAACTTTATAGCGTATGCGGATTTTTAATGAAAATATGTTTAACAGGTTCTAGTGCAAAATCTATTGTTTTTGGATCAATCTGATCAGCCTTAATTCCGTTTTTCTGCTTCTTGTATGGAATAATAACTCGCCTTATTGAAGAGGGGGTGCAAAAGGAGAGGTCTCTTTGTTTCAGGGGGAGTTAGCAATCATCAAAGTGGGGTTTACATTTTTATCTATAGTCACAAAGCCAGCATGTGAGGTATTAGTAGAATTTGTAGAGAGTGGTTTCTTATTGGAAATTTTGTTTCAAGAAAGGTCCATATATTTATCATTTAAATCCTATTGTTTTTCAGTATTCAGAGGAGGAAATAAAGCTTTCTTATTTGAATCTAGCATGTGGGTCGATAAGGAAGTGCTGTTGCAGTGAGTCTCTGATAGGGACAATGTTTCGCTAGATGCCCTTCCTTCTTACATTGGAAACACTTTAAATTGCCTGTAGAAATGTAGATCCAATAAGAAATATCATTATAGTTCACTTGTATGATGATTCTTCGGTAGTTTGTCATCGTCCGGATGAATGTATACCTACCTACGGAAGCTGAGTATATGTGTGAATCCGGCTTCTGTGAATCCTACTTTTATGAAGGAGATTGATGATACGGTTCTGATTCCCATTTGAAAATGTTTGATATCACATTGTGTGGAATAATCAGACATACGTTTGAGAGAATAACTCACTTGGTTTTCATAATTAGGGGTCTGACAGAGAGCAACCGATCTTTGATGAATATGTTTAGAAAAATTCTAAACTCTCAACTTTATGTTTCTAAAATTAATTGGAAATTTTATAGAATGGCAATTCATAATAAAATATCAATATAATTGCACTTACTTGATAGTAGAATGATATTAATGTCCATTTAGAAAATATAATTCAGATAACTGAATCTGCTAGTCATAATAAGAAAGGCCGTAAAAAAATTCCATGTGGAATAAAAATTATAGTTCTATAATTTTCCTACTAGGAAAGCTTTTCAACACACTTAACACACTTAACATACATATATAATAGACAAAAAAATAAAATAAAATTCTCTTCTAAAAATAAAATTCAAAGAAATTGCAAGTCATCTTTGGCAAAACAATGAAAGATAGTAGCTCTAAATTTTTGATTGAATATGTTTCTTCTATTAATATTGTATGTGTCTTCTATTAATATTATAGCTGATTTAAAAATGACCTGGTTTCAGAAAATTAACAGTTATTATATACTTTTGAATATCCCTGTTCTGAATATTTCAGATTCTTTCTTGCTAACTGATCAGAAAGACATAGTGAAAACTTTAGTTATAAAATTTGCTAATAACTTTAGTGACCATAACTTTCTCCAAGATTTCAAATAAAAAACCAATAGTCTTTTAAGAAATCTATGTTTCAAATATTTTATCTCTTTTCAATAATTTCTATTGAAGATTAATTTAATTTACTTAAAGAACTTATTAGTGCTCAAATTTGCAAAAAATTCCATTCTCTGCCCTGATGGTATACCAAATTTGTTACTTAAACATCTTCCTTCAATTAGTTCTTTTTGCTCTTCTAGACTTGCTACAACCATATTTGGAACCAAAGAACTTTTCCATCTACTTGGAGAATTGTTATTATTATTCCGGTTTTAAAAACCAAAACAATCTTCTGGATTGTTCTTCTTATAAACCAATAGCCTTAACTAATCTACGTAAAATTTTAGAAAAAATGCTAGACTTATCTGAAAATTAGACTCAAATAATCTTCTTTTTATACATAGCACATTCAGAAAATTTCGATCAATTAATGGATCAATTAACAATCTTACTTTTCAATCTGTGGAGCCTTTACAAATAATGAAAAGGCATATGAGATGGTTTGGAAAACAAGAATCGTTCATTTCTTATAGAAATTTGATATATGTACCTACATTATTAACTAATAATATCGTTGCATTTATAATTAACATACTTTCTAATACATCAAAGTTAAAATAAACAATGCATTATCTCTAAACTTATATTTATTTAAGACGGCTAAGGATCAGTCATTAGTGTTATGATTGATTTATTTTTGATAGAAATTGACGAAATTATAACAAATATAACTTGCTTATTGATGTTTTGTATTCTGTTATGGAAAAAATATCAATTCCATCCAAGATCTATTACAATCTTGTCTCAACACATTTCTTTTTTAGGCTACTTATAATGGTTTCATTTTTTCTAAATTTAATCTAAATTTAATCACATAGATAGAGATAAAAAAAGTTTCCCTAATCTTAACTTGTTTTTAAATAGTTAATCTATTAACCCTCCGCCTACTGTGCCGGAATCATTTTTGACCCATATTGAGAGCTACTCGAATGCAATAACGCACACAGTGATGGGAGCTGCTTGTGTTAGTAGCTGAAACCTGATCGCACTAAACACGAACCCCAAGTAGCTAACACGTGTCCGCCAAAGTACCGAAGTGACGAAGACTGAAGACAAAGGAATCAGTTTTTGTTAACGCTCTGAGGAAAGACGTGTGCACTGCAGGACCTCGATCTCGAGCGACCATCACTCTGTTTAGCACAGTATCGGTGAGTCGTTCGGGCGATCTAAATATGTGAAATGTCCGTGTGAGTCAAAAATGATGGCAGAGGACTCCATGCTTCAGTAGTCGGAGGGTTAAAGAAGTCGATCATATAAAATTATCGAGACTTATATTTTTGATAAAAAATTAAATGATTAAAAATTAAAAATTTGAACAACAGCTGCATCAAAAGAATCAATATTTTAAAAAGTTTAGTCAACAAGAAGTCAGGAGCATTAATGTACTATTAACTACATATAAGGCACTGATTCTTTTAAAAATTGATTATTACTTTATAATATATGATTCTGTCAGTAAAACCCTACTAAATATTCTTAATCTTATTCCAACTTGCCTAAGAATTGTTTCTGATGCTTTTTGCACTGTATCTATATCTAGTCTACAAGGTTAACGAACTTCAATTAAACATTAGGCCTAAATTATATGCCTCTTTATGTCTTGTCAATTGCTATCTCATCGAATAATCTAGTCAATAATTATATTTCTGTAAATAATACATTAAAATTTAGCTCCAATGATAAATATTTCTACAAATCTGTAATCGTTAGAGCTTTCAATTCTGCTCAAGATCTTAATTTAACTTTTTCTTTCATCCTTTCTTTATCTACCTATAGTTCTCTTTTATTCTTCCCATAGATTCCACTTTTAGTAATTATGAAACAAAAAATACTAACAATTTTTAACGCTGTTTTCCAAGAGTACATCAATTCTGGTTCCTCTATTTCGATTTTTTACTGATGGTTCCAAATCTTGTGATGCTACTAGATGTGCTGAATAACAAATATTTCCTGAGAAGTTACTACTTTTGGCCTCTTCTTTAACTTGTGCATTACAAAATTTTAAAAATGTTTTGCTTTATATCGTGAACTCAAATTGTTTAAACAAGAGATTTTTTATTTTTATTGAATTTTCTTAATAAAGTTTTTTCTATCTTTACTGAGTTTTTCTCAGTGCCATTAGTATGCGGTTATTATTCGACAATATAATTTATTCAACAAACAATAACAGGGTTCAACAACAACAGAAATATGATTAAACTTATTTGAGTCCTAATATCTTAGGAATCGAAACTACAGATAAAGCTACTAAGGGTACCACTAAATTCCCCGTTTATATAAAAAATTGTGGAATTAATTTTAGAATTAATGCCAAAGCATTTCAAAAAAGTTTTATTTGCATACATTAAACGGAACTGGAACAAAATTTTATGATATAAGATGTAATATTCACTTATATTCAAGATTTTTCTTCTCTCTAGAAAAGAACAAATGGCGCTATATTTCGTATTTCATATTTTTTTTTTTTAAAGTGGAGGAAATCTTTGAAAGACACTCGGTTATCTTGGGGGAGATGACTGGATAGTGTCGGATTCTTACCGATTAAAACCTCCACGATGGCCTATTTCTTGTCTTTAACGATAGTTCCGGGGCCGAGGTATTCACCGGATATGTGATACTTGCGGCGTAACACTCACAATTCACAAAAGGGGGGAAGGGGAGGGAGGGAGGGAGGGAGAGAGCGAGAGAGAGAGAGAGAGAGAGAGAGAGAGAGAGAGAGAGAGAGAGAGAGAGAGAGATGCAGAAGAAGCTGAGGGAAATAGCAAAACAAAAGAGAGAGGAGGGGAAAAGAGTGATGGTAAAATACAAGGGGCTATGGATAGAGCAGAAGTGATATGTGGAATGAAGTAGAATAAAGTTTAGAAGAAAGGAAAGGAGAAAGAAATGAATGAAAAAGGTACTGCTTGGGGGAGCGAGAGAAGAGAGGGAAAAACTATGTTTCTGGAACACAGCTGGAGTATGAAACAAAAGCAAGGGTGTATGGAGGTATTTGGAAAACTATGATGTAGGTCTGGTAGGTCTGGTGGAAAGCTATGAGGTAGGTTTGGTAGGTCTGGTGGAAACATGGTTGGATCAGAGGTCGGAGGAGAAATTAAAAAACAAGTTATCTGAAAAGTTCAACTGGTGGTACGTGCTTAAATTAAGAGAGAACAAAATGGGTAGGGCAAAGGGAGGAATTATGATGGCGGCAAAAAAAGGATTAGAGGTGGTAGCGTTCAGGAAATGGAGTAATCAGATGGCAGAGTTAAGGCTAGAACATGAGAAGAAAAGTTGGCGAATAGTAACAGTGTATAGCCAGAATACAAAGAAAATAATACAGACAATCACAGAAGGAATAGAGGAAAGAGACAATATTGGGAGGAGACTTTACTGCAAGGGTTGGAGAGGAGGGAGGCCTATTCAAAGAAATGATGACAGAAAAGAGGGAAGAAAGAAGATCGAAGGACAAGAAAGTAAATAGGAAGGGAAGGATGCTAATAGAGGGACTGAGGGGTAGAGGTTGGTTTATAGTTAATGGATGCTTTGGGCGAGACAGAGAGTGGGCATGTAAAGGAGAAAGAGAGGCATCGGTGTAATTGCAAACACAGAATCATTTGAGGAGATAACAGATGTGAAAGAAGGAGAGAGGACAGAGTCGGACCACTTTCCATTGGAAGTGGATAGGAGAAAAACGCATAGACGAGGAAGACGAGAAAGGAAGAAAGGAGAAGAATAAAGCGATAAGAACAGTTGATTGGTCGAAGGAAGGGATAGAGAGTTATCATACCGTATAAAGAATGCGAAAAAGAAAGGGAGAAGCATGAGAGGATGGAGGAAGAAAAGATAAGGATGATTAAGACGGAAAGCGAAGCTTGGAAGTACGTAAACAGATATGGAGGAAGGAATTGTCAAAAACATGAAATGAAAAAAATGGAAATCGCATTTCATGGAACTATTATGGAAGATAGAGGGAAAACTAGCGGAGGGGTAATTTGGGTTTAGAGCGGAAAGAGGAACCACCGATGCCATATATGTTCTGAATTATATGATTAACAAGGAACTAAGTAAGAAAAGAGGAAAGCTGTTTGCCTGCTTCGTAGATCTGAAAGCGGCATTCGACAGAGTCAAACAAGAGAACACTGATGGAAAGATTAAAGGAAATGGATGTAGAGGGAAACTTAAGGAGGAGAATAACAGAAATATACAGGGAAACAGGCAACATGGTGAAGATCGAGGAGGAGAGAACAGAAGACTTCTGGACAACAAGAGGAGTGAGACAAGGATGTTAAGCCCAATCTTTTTTAATGCATTTTTGTCGGACTTAGAAGAGGACATAAACAAGGTGCAAGAGGAGTTGTGATAGAAAGAGAGAAAGTGCGGACGATAGTGTATGCTGATGACATCCTGCTTGTAGCAACGTCAGAAGTGGAGATGAAGGGGATGTTGATTTAGGAAGTATGTAGAGAGGAAAAGGCTGACAGTAAATACAGAAAAATCTAAGGTAGAGGCGAAAAGGGTAGAGGAAGAGGAAGAAAAAGGAAAGAATGGAGGTGGAGAGAGGAAGAGCTGGAGGAGGTAAAGGAAATGAAAAAGAACGGAAAAGTAGAGAAACATATACAGAAAAGGATAAGGAAAGCAGTGGTGGCGATGAAAAGAACGTGGCACATTGGAGAAAGATTATTTAAGGAAGATTTCGAAAGAAGAATAAAGATGTTCGTGGTACGAGTGGAGAGTGTGGCGTTGTACGGGGTAGAAATCTGGGGATGGAATGATGAAGGAAGGTTGGACACTATCAAGAGGAGATATATGGAGTGGATCTTAGCGTTGAACAAGGTTACATCAAACTATATTTTGAGAGAGGAGATACAACAGGAGGAACGAACGAAAGTAGTGAGGAGAGTGTTCAAGTATGAAGAAGGAGCAAAAAATTCAGACAAGAACTTAGTGAGAGACTGTATAAGGGAGATGGAAAGGCAAAGGGGGAAGAAAAATCTAAGTGTGGAAAGAAAGAAGAAGAGAATTGAGGAGGAGACTGGGAATCAGTGAGGATTGGATGGGAAGAGTTAGAGAGGAAGAGGAAGGGAAAACAGAGGGAGTTGCAAAGAGAGTAAGGAAAAGGATAGAGGTGGAAGTGGAAAGCAGAAGATTGAAGAGTCGAAGTACAATATACACTATAAAGAAATTGCAACAAAAGAAAGGCCAGAATATCTAAAGCCTGATAGCAAGGTTTAGGCAACGAAGTTAGGGGAAGGCAACACTGGAGAGAGGAGAAGGATAGACGGTGTAGAATATACAAAGAAGAAGAAGAGACAATAGGGCATGTGATAGGAAGATGTGATGCCATGAGAGGAGGTCTGAGAGTAGAAATTCTGAAGGGGAAGAGCTAGAGCAGATGAAGAGAGTACAGCGGGAAAGGAAAAGAAAAATCGTGGAAGAGGCAAATGTAGAAGGGAGGATGTTAGAGGGGTTGGGAGAAATAGATATATAAAAGAACGCAGGAGGGAGGATAAAAAAAAAACAGAAAAAGAAACAGCAAAACAATACCAAAGAAAAGGCAATAATAGAAACCAGTAGAAGATAGTTTTTTTCAACAAATTTTCGACAAATTAGATCCATAAGATGTAGACATTAAGAATTAGCTATAGAGTTAGAAATTAAGAAAGAAAGATGTAAACTGGAAGATTGTAAACCGGAAGCCATCCTAGGCAAGGATTATAATAAATAAATAATAATAATAAATATTAACTAACTAAGTATGTGCAATATATATTACGAGCTAAAGTATAATTTCCAAGTGCTTTATCTATGTGCTATTCTACTATGAAGCATTTGACACACGTTATAACGATGAAAACTATTATATCCATTAGATAACCAGAAATTACTATGGATATTAGCAATGATCATAATTATCTGTATCTGTTAGTGGATCGAATAAAAAACACACTGATTATTAACAGATTTAATATTTATAAATTATGAAACACATATAATATTTAATACTCATTAATTCACTCTCTATCTATTCACTCTTGCTTCTCGTTTTTCGTGATTCGCGTTTTTTCATTTTCCCGATCACAACTGTTTCTTGTCACCATCTCTCGCATACATCTCATGTATACTCAGATCACACCACACCACAATTATATGCACACTCGCCACACTCATCCTTCCATACAAACATTATGTATATTCATTTCACAATATATAACTATCTATAACCACAGTTATCGGATCATAGTTATCTGATGTGTTTACAAACTATTTCAACATAGGAATATGATAATGCGGTTACAGAATGTGTAATAACACATATACTCAAAAACAATTATTTGACATAAATAAATAAAATAAAATTTTAACATTATCTATAGAGGGAGGGAAAATAATTCTATTATTTACAAAGTTTCTTCACTGCCATGTTTTGAGATTTCACAAAAAAATTTCATTCAGTAACAACCAAATATTATGATAAATATCAACCTTTCAAAAATCAATCTCCTTTCAGTGTTTATATTTAATAGTTTTAGACTTTTTAAGAAATAGTGAGTAATGGTTAAAATTTCTTGAGAGTTACTCAGCAATAGCTAAAATTTTTTAGGAGTTACTCAAGAGAATGTCCTTGATAACATATATGAAGCTCACGATCATCTCCTCTAAACATAATATTTATCATTATAAATTTAACTATAACCAATATAGAATTAAAATATAGAATCGGTATCAGGACCAATGGTAGAATCGTTATCGGTACAAAATCGAAATAGAATTTATTAGAACTATTATTTTAATATAACAGTTATAACATTATTTCGGTTCTTCTAACTGTTTTAATTAGAATCGATACATAACAGTTTGAAACAGTTATTTTCGGAACTATTTCGAACCTTGACGAGAAATAATTAAATTGAAGTTGTTGCTGTAAATAAAACGAAAAAAAAAAAAGGATTTTGGATAGTAGTAAAGACGAAAGATTTGTAATGAAGGAGAAATGAATGAATAATATTTATTTAAGATGATTTAATTTAAGAAATAAGAAGAGAGAAAGAGAGATTTCGAATTTGAAAATAATATCTATGAAATATTGAAAGAATTAGTTTTGGAAGAAAAAGTATAAATAGCGAGATGTGTCTGCAGTTGACAGTATTTAATGTTTTCCGTAAAATAAAAAGTTTTCAGTAAATTAAAAGTTGTTTCCATTGATAGATGGTGACCTGCTAAAAGATATACCAGAGCAATATAAGATTCACAAAAATTATTTTTTTATTTGGCGTATCACAACTTTTAGTAATAAAAACAAGTAGATATGTAGAAATATATAATACAAAAATATGAATCTAGTAAATCTAACAGAATAAAGAATGGAAATCACGATGGAAATCAAATTACGATGAAATAAAAAAGTTCTTGAATCTGCTCATTATTTATTGCAAAATAGATCCACTATATTATTGTAAATTGATACAGCGTATTATGTTTGCTAATACAATTAAATTGTTATTTTCGAACATATAGAAAAACAAAGTCGCATAAATATGTATTTTGTAATTGTTATATTATTACATTGTTAAATTTATTAGTACAAATATCATCAAGATATTTTTTTACCCAGCAAAAATATTGTGACTAATAATAATTTTCTGGATATTCTCAACAAAATATATAAATATAAAATAAAATTATTCAACAAAGAACATGAAGCTTTATTTTGATCAATCGGTTAATGCAAGTAAAGTGACAACTTTTATACGAATTACGAATTAGCCTTAAAATTTTTAAATTTGAAAATTTAAAGTTCTAGACTATAATAGAAAATCCATACTAAAAGACATGAATTATCTGAAAAAAAAAAGAAACTATAATATGGTATCACATCTAAATAATAATGTGATCATAAAATGGAAGGACGTGTATAACGTACGATGTTAATAAAATATAATATCTTTTGTAAGCAATAATTTTACACTGAAATTTCCGTTAACAACAAAGCGTGTATTTTCGTGATAAAACTGAAGACTGGTTCGGACGTGCGATCTTGGCGACGTTCTCCCGACAGAGTGTCGCCTGGCTTCGTGTCCTCGTTCGGGTATCCTCCTCGGTCCAACCCTCGTCCGGATACCCTAGCTCGGTTTACAGGCGTCGGTCATAAACATTGGAATCGGCCCGTGGTCCTTAATCTCGAGTGGCCTCTTCTACCGAATAGCCAAGGAAGTCTTCCCACGCCTACGGGCGGCGTGGCTAACATTTGCTTACACTTTGTATTCAAAAATTCATCCATTTGTTATTGAGTAGGGACTTTGACATCATTAATCTTTTTCGAATGTAGTATTAGTAGTATTGAGACGCTTACGGTTGGCACTAACTCGATTGGTTGTCTATATTCAAACCTAATCTCGTACAGACACATTAAAAACTACATTTCCTGTAGTTAGTAACTGATCTGAAGTGATCAGTATTTCGTTCAACTGTTTTATCTCACTCGTATTTGTAACTGTAACTATTTACTTATTTTTGTGACTGTTTGCCAATATCTGCCACTGTCTATCTGCTTATCTGTCTTCCCGGCTGATGGCAGGTCTGTTCTGTAAACTTTAATTGTAACCAATATAACGAATTATAACAAATATAAATCAGTATAAATATAATTCAATCAATTTAAAGGAAGGACGGCTCGATTGTCTTGATCTAGGTGGACTAACGTTATTTTAAATATTGTTACGAATGATCGACGTCAATTACTTTTGGAGGACGCTGAACAAAACGGGCTCACGATTGTTGACTGGAGATGACAACAAAATGACCGTGTTAATAACTGTGATCGAGCGTGGCGGTCATTAGGACTTTTTATCACATGAAAAAGTGGGCGAACGTTATCTTTAGTCATAAATACTCTAAATTTAGACAATAGATTCTTCGTGCTGACAAGACTAACGTCTTTGATTTAGGAAATTCTGTATATGTAGATTGCGATTTTTATAACCGTCTCACGATTCGACGGAAAATGCTCCGACCACGGTTCTTCATTTGTTGAAGCTACTAAGGATTCAATAAGTAGAACAAGATGATTCTCGCAATTGGGACGGGTTATATCTAAAGAATAATAAATGAAAAATTGAAAATGAAAAAAAATAATAACAGAAGAATTGTTGAGGAGAAAATTAAATGATATGAGATTTACTTTTATTGTTTTTTTTTTTTTTTTTGTAGATATATAGATTTTGTAGAAAATGCAACTAAAAAAAAATGCAATTATATTTTTTTTTACTGTAAATCGATTCATTGCAACAATCTGCGTAAAGTCAATATTTAAAAAAAGTTGAAACATTTTTCATTAAAGAAGATATTCGAATGTTTCGTCTTTATATTTTAAAAATTTCATAATTCGTTTTTTTATGTATTTTGTTATAAAATTAAGATGATTATTGTTGCAACAGTATAATCTGTTCTTTTAAGTTTTCTACGGAAATAGAGTGGGTATGAATATATTTTTAAAATAACCTTATAAAAAAAATCGAAGGAAATTAAGTTCGAAAATAAGATGTTGACATATGTATATGTATGTATATGTTCCAAACCAATTTTTAGAATAATCCTTTGTCGTAAATAATCTGCTGCAATGCATGTATTATGTACCGATGCATTATTCTGTTGAAAATATTTCAAATCCAATTGTGTGTACAGAAGAACAGTATAAATGAAACCAGTCAATACAAATTCTATAATAAAAAGTGTTCATAACTTTCAACATTTATTTTTTTAAGAAATTTCGTTTCTTGTATCTAGGCGGATTTAGTATATATGGGGAATTTTTCCTTCCCACAATTAATCGTTACTAAATAGTCATTCATGACAATAAAAAATAAAGATATGATAATTGTTATGATAACGCTTTCTGATACATCATTTTTTATGAATGAATAAAGAGAGGATGTTGTTGATTTTGACTTGGATAACTTTTGCATCTAAGAAGTTATACAGCAGTCAAATAACTGACTTGATTGCGAAGGTATGACATAGGTTATAAATGCATATACTATACATATCCTTAGATTTATTAGGTATCTAATCATAGATGGAGAAAAAAATAATTAAGTTAAGTGGTTATGTTGCATATGGTCGTATATGTATGTTACATGAAAATCACTA